GCCTCCCCATCGGGGCGAGGCTGCATCCAAGGGCTGACCACTGATGGGCCAGGCATCAAGGAGTCCTGGGGCGAGGATTTTTTTGTATCAAGGCCCCTGAGTCATGTTATTGCGATCCCCAATGGCCTCGCTGTCGGAATCCTGGTCTGCGAGCTCCGTTGGCACCGGCGTGGGATCCTTGATTTCAAGCCGCTTGCACCACAATCCATCTTTGACCCCAAGAAAACTGGTGCAGAACAGAACCCAAAGAAAGTAGATGCATTCAAGAGTCGAGGTCCTCAGCATCCTGATCATCCGCCTTCGGCGGCATGGCTGCACGCGGGGACCAATGGGCCCAATGACCAATGCTAGGATGCCGTCGTGAGCTGAAAGTTGTGTATGCCGCGGTCGGGCTGAATTCGGACAAGTGCTGCGCCCAATGACGGGTACATTGCCAATGTTCATGAGCCTCTGTCTATGACACATGTCATGACTGATGAGTCTGTGATGTTGCGGTCGGGCTCAATCAAGTCGGGACAGCCAAGGCAAAAAAAGTGAGGCAAGAGGGCTCCTGCATTGCACTGCCGCAGCTGCCACAACCAGGATTTGACCTGGCGCGCTGTAGTAGTAGCAGAAGTAGTCGTAGTCTATACTTAGTCGTAGTAGTAGTAGTAGTAGTAGTTGTTGTTGTTGTGGTTGTTGTAGGAGTAGTAGTAGCAGCAGCAAGCAGCCGTAGTAGCAGTAGCAGCAGGAGTAGCAGCAGCAGCATCAGGAGCAGCAGAACCAGCAGCAACAGCAGCAGTAGCAGTAGCAGTAGCAGGCCTAGTAGCAGCAGGGAGTAGCAGCAGCAGTTCGCAGTAGCAGCATCAGCAGCAGCAGCAGCAGTAGCAGTAGCAGCAGCAGTAAGCAGGAGCAGCAGCAGTACGCAGTCGCAGTAGCAGTAGCAGCAGCAGCAGCAGCAGCAGCAGCAGCAGCAGCAGCAGCAGCAGCAGCAGCAGCAGCAGCAGGAGCAGCAGAAACAGCAGCAGCAGTAGCAATAGCAGTAGCAGGCCTAGTAGCAGTAGGAGTAGCAGAGTAGCAGTAGCAGTCCTAGTAGCAGTAGCAGCAAGAGCAGTAGCAGTCGTAGTAGCAGCAGTAAAGAAGGGTTTAGGGTTTAGGGGTTTAGGGCTTTGGGGGTTCAGATATTTGGGGTTAGGGTTTGGCCTGAATGAACCCAACCCTCATGCGGTGTCAGGGATGCATGCAAACTCAAGGACAAGCTTTGCCAGCCTCGGAGCCAGGCAGAGTCCGAAAGACCCCACCGGCACCAAGTCCGGCAAGCGCATGAGGCTCGCCAGCCTCGGAGCCAGGCGGAGTCCGAAGACCCCACCGGCCCCAAGTCAGGCAAACCACTTGCCAGCCTCGGAGCCAGGCAGAGTCCGAAGACCCCACCGGCCCCAAGTCCGGCAAGCGCACTCGCCAGCCTCGAAGCCAGGCGAAGTCCGGAGACCCCACCGGCCGCAAGTCCGGCAAGCGTGCGAGGCTCGCCAGCCTCGGAGCCAGGCGGAGTCCGAAGACCCCACCGGCCCCAAGTCCGGCAAACCACTCGCCAGCCTCGGAGCCAGGCGGAGTCCGAAGACCCCACCGGCCCCAAGTCCGGCAAGCGCACTCGCCAGCCTCGAAGCCAGGCGGAGTCCGGAGACCCCACCGGCCGCAAGTCCGGCAAGCGTGTGAGGTTCGCCAGCCTCGGAGCCAGGCGGAGTCCGAAGACCCCACCGGCCCCAAGTCCGGCAAACCACTCGCCAGCCTCGGAGCCAGGCGGAGTCCGAAGACCCCACCGGCCCCAAGTCCGGCAAGTGCGTGATACAATTCAAGCTCGCCAGCCTTCGAGCCAGGCGGAGTCCGAAGACCCCACCGGCCCAAAGTCCGGCAAGCAACATGCATGCGTGCAAGAAAGAACTCTAAACCACTTAGGGCAGCTGGGCCTCCAGGTGACCCGGAGTCCCAACTGCCACCCCCGCAACCCCAACCCCAACCCTCTCAGGCCCCGGCCGATGCGTTTAGGGTTTAGGGTTTAGGGATGATTTAGGGTTTAGGGTTCAGGGGGCGAATAAAATATGAGGAGGGCTTTCAGGCTTTAAGGTTACAGGGTTTAGGGTTTCAGGGCTTAGGGTTTAGGGTTTACGGCGTTTTTAAGCGTTTAGAGTCTTGGGCTATCCTAAACCCTGAACCCCAAACCTTCAAACCCGACTATGTAGTTGCATCCCTAGACCCTTAAGCCCCAAGCCCCTGAACACTAAACGCCTAACCCCCAAAACCCCTAAAATAACCCTGTACGAAATAATACATATCTAAATTTTAAAACCTAGACCTTTATTCCCAAACCCACCCCCAAACCCTTATCCCGAAAAATTGGCCCTCCCCCGCCTCGCCGATGTCGATGGTCCGGGGCTGCTGCCGCTGCTGCTGCTGCTGCTGCTGTTGTTTGCTGATGGATGCTTTAGGGTTTAATCTAGTACAGGCAGAAATCCAGGCACAAAAAGTTAAAGTCTAAAGAGCCAACCAGAAGAACGCCAAGTTAAGGGTATATATATAGGGTATATAGTAGGTATATTAGGGTCCCAGGGGTAAGGGCCCATACTAGGGGCCCATGGGTTCTACCTTAGATTCTGTGAACTTCCTTTTGCCCTCCCCTTCGCCGACTCAGACTTTGCAAAACGGACCGCGTATTCCATCGGAGCCTAAACCCTCAAACCTGCAGCCGAAAACTCGCAGCCAGTATGGCAGACCCTAAACTAAACCCTAAACCTAAACCCCAAACCACCCAAAAGCTCGAAAACATGACTCCTATGACCTGCACTGAACAGCGAGCCCCGGACGCAACTTTGAATCCGAGCCCTCGACCCTTGGTCCAAAAACTCCATAAATACTCTGCGGATCCGTTAAGGGAACCCGGGAGGAGTCCCTAAATGAAGAAACCCTTCAAGGAACATGTTGGGATCCTTCTAAGGGAGTTTAGGGTTTAGGGTTGAGTCCTCAAATAAAGGAACCCGGAAGGGAACCCCTAAAGGAAGCGTTTTAGGATCCTTAAATAAAGGAGCCCTAAAAGGGAGCATTTTAGAATCCTTAAATAAAGGAGCCCTGAAAGGGAACATTTTAGGATCCTTAATTTTAGGAGCCCTTAAAGGGAGCATTTTAGGATCCTTAAATGAAGGAGCCCTAAAAGGGAGCATTTTAGGATCCTTAAATAAAGGAGCCCTTAAAGGGAGCATTTTAGGATCCTTCTTTTTCTTTTTACAGGGTTTTTAAAAACCCTCTTCTTAAAGCGAGCATTTTCGGATCCTTCTTTTGCGGCCCAGGGACGGACACCGAAAGCCCTCTCACCTCTGCCTCGGGGGAGATCACCGCCGGCCTCAGGTGCGGAGACATTTTGTTTAATATAGGGGGCCTTAATACCTAGAATAGGGTTTAGGGTTTAGGGTTAGGGTTTAGGGTTTAGGGTTTAGGGTTTAGGGCATTTTGTTTAATATAGAGGCCTTAATAACTAGAATAGGGTTTTCGGGCCCATTATTCTAGAAGTATGACAAGGAACCCCCAAAATGGTATGGGTAATCATTTAGGACCCTATCGTAGGGCTCAGGGTTTGGGTTCAAGGTTTAGGGTTTCATGTTGAATTGAGGGCCCACCAGGGCTTGGACTTTAGGTTTACCTGTGGCCGATAATGCCTACCTTTTGAGGGCTCCTTATGGCTTCTCAAAGCCTACTTTTTTTGGGCTCCTTATGGCTTCTCTATATAATTTCAAAAAAAAATGTAGTTGTTTTTTTGGGGTCAAAAGGCACAAGCAAAGTCCCAGGCTACCTACGTACTCAGCTGCAAAGAGAGGAACCACTCTGCCGCCGATCTTGCGGCAACCTCTCATTCACCTCCACGGCCCACTGCGGGCCATGAAGGCTTCCTGTAGGCTAGGGGTTTCTTGAAGGATTCTCCAGAAAGGCTTCATGCGTAGTTCTCTAAAGTAGAGTCCCTTTTTAGGGTCTTTATAAGGACCCCAAAAGGGACCCTAATTTAGAAAACTACCTTCATATCTTCAGAGTTCAGGGTCTGGGTGTTGGTTTGGGGGCGCTTCAGGGGCAAGCCCCCTTCTACTTCGGTGCGAGCACACCCATGAGAAACACTGCTGCAACAGAAGGCTCTGAAACCCGCCCTATACCGTCTTCTCGGTGCAAACAAACATCCTGAATACCATGTCAGCATTCTAATTATTCTAATTTCACCACGACATCCAACTAGCCCCCTACAGCTTGAACGGCCATAACGCCTTGAGGAGCTGTGGCCCTGAGTACAGCCGAACTCTGAAGGTCGAGATCGACCCCCCACAGCCTCGTCTAATCTGATGCTTCAGCCCAAAAGCCATGATATTCGGGTCTTGAGACCTTGGGGGGAATGGTTCCTAAAGCTAGAGCCTGAAATTAATCCACCAAGGCCGCAGCGGCAGCTGACAGTGGTCTCCAACGAGCACTAAGCGATTCGCCTCGGAAATCGCTGCTGATTCCAAGGGTTACAACGATGACGATTTACGGCTCATGGTGTAGGGCGATGATGTGTTCTGAGCTTTCTAGTGTGAGGATGCTTGAATGTCTCCTGCTTGTGCCTAAGATTATGGCACTTGCTAATCACCCCTCATTCCGATTCAAGCGGCTATTGCTACAGATAACTCGGAACGTCGTAAGCTTTGATACTAAGCTCCAAGCTCTGCAGCGAATCTGGTCATGCCTCTAACAAGAAGCACCACCAAGAACTTCCAACTATTTTTCAAGGCAAGATAGGAGCATCAATGCCTGCAGCACCTATTCCTGTACGATGATTTCTGGGACGCTGAGGTTCCTTTGGAATCCTCCCCACGAAACGTTTGAATCAAGCCCCGCTCCCCGCCGTTGAAGCAAAGCATCGCACCAACCCAAGCTAGAACAAACAGAACCGCAGGGGCGAAGCAACCGCTGCAGCCAAGTGCCTTTGGCAACGGCTCTCTCAAACGAGACCTCTACATATATAGCCACTTCTTAACATCAACCTCTTCATATGGGTACCCCTTCCTCTCAAGCCATGCTACCTCTGCCTTCTGTGATTCGCCCAAACCCTGTGAGTCTCGAAGAAACTGCCTGTCATCCGGGGGGAGCCAGTCGAGGAAAAGACGGTCCTTCTCCCGGCTGTACCTTGGCTGTTCTCCGAGGCCCTTTAAGTTTTAGAGCTTAGGGTTTAGGGGTGTAGGGTGTAGGGCAGTTTAGGAATTACGGAAGAGATCAAAGTACAACTTCCGTTCCCTCTTCTCAAGACTAAACTACACAGACTATACCAAACCCTAAACCCTAAACCCTAAACCCTAAACCCAATAAGCCCTAAACCCTAAACCCTAAACCCCCAAGACCCAAAAAGGTCAGTTTACACAGCGGCCTTGGTGCTGTGAGGAGCTGTCTTCTCGTTTCCCCTTGGAGAGCTCCTCCAGGCCTGAGCGCAAGGCATCTTGGAAGAGCGCCGAGCTCTGAAACTCCTCCGTGTCCGTGCTTGTCGGGTTTAGGGTTTAGGGTTTAGGGGTTTAGGGTTTAGGGTGCAATAAGGTGAAACGATTCGAACAATGCCTTTTGGGGTAAAGTTATCATATGCTTATGTGAAGGAGCCCGCAGGAATACTATGGTAAGTATTCTAAGCTTTGGGACTGCATGGGCTATAGTACCCCAAACACGTTGAGGTACGCCAGGTCATGACGGGGTCCCAGCGACAGGCATGAGACTGACTCCGTCGAATTAAAGACGGATCCAATGAAGCAAAAGAGCCCAAAAGGCAGGTGGAAAAACAGATCTTTAAGGGCTTTAGGAGGGACCCTTAATAGGGGACCCTTGTAGGATGTTGGGGCCCCTCCTAAAGTCCTTAGAAGATCGAAACTTACTTGCTGTACTAAGTGTCCCTTCGGCGCCACAGCGCCTCCCGCCGGAGGTGCTCCGATCCGCACGTGCCGAAACTCTGGGCTTTGCCTAGGTGTGTCGATTTCAAAAGTACCCGAAATCATACTTAGTTGGAGCTCTATATTCAAGAATCAGGGGAGACAAAAAATCATCCCAAAAACCGGTACGTAGGCGCCTTTTCCCTTGGAGTTTGCAAAGAAGTAAACTTCGAGTTTGGCGCCTTGCCTCACGGCCTCCTCGACATTGGCGATCCACTTTGTCCACCACTTGCACCCCCAGGGCTTTCTCTCTCCGTACAGCGGGACGCACCAGCAAGCGCCTGAGAGATTTATGAAGATGTCGGCTACCACAAAGTCGGGGGTTTCATGTGCATACAGGGAATGAAAAGTCAACCAGCAACAATGAGGTTGTATCATAGTTTTGTATTCCAATAAACTTTCAGACTTTGCTCCACGATCACCCAGCTACCTGTCAAGTCCTTCAGGTCATCATCGTCGGGGATTGAGTCGTGGAGGCCAAAAAGCTGGCTACCCTCTGGCAAAAAGACCACAGCGGCGCTTGTGTTCCCTTTCTTGCTGCTGCGAACCATTGCATCCCATGCCGGTGCATACTTCCCCGGCCATGAACACACACATCCCCTGCCCATGCCTTCAAGCACTCGGCCGTGAAAGACGATGCAGTTTTCGAGTGCACGTTGAGCAACATGTCGTTCCAGCAAATCGGGGTACAATTGAACCGCCAGCTTTCCGTGGAACTTCCTTACGAACCAGTGGATGGTCAGACCGACGGGGAGAATGCAAAGCGGGATGAAGTCCGTGATGTCGGCAACCGCCATCATACACTCCCAAAAGTCGTGTTGTATGTCTTGGCAAATGCGGCCTATAAGGAGCACATATGGCCCAAGAAGAAAAAACAAGAATGAAGACCACATGAGTACAAGACTTGCGCCCGTACCATACCTCTTCTCGAGGTGCACGAGAGGCTTATTGATATGCCTCATAGTCCACGTAAACACTGCTGTCACGGAACAGAAGGCAACCCATCCTTTCAGGGTCAGCTCTGGCGCAAAATGCATCGTGAGCCCTGAAAGAGCAAGTGTCAACACCATGTAGAGCAGTAAGAAAATCAATAAACGCCTCTGGCAAACCTTCTGGGATTTTTCAAGGTCATGGGTTGTCAGACTCTTGTCGCGCACCTTTCTGAGGAGTGCCTGCGCTTCAGCCAAAGCGACTGACATCTTCTCCCGTTCCAGCCATCGTTCAGCTTGGATGTTGAAGGGCCCCAGCTCTGATGTGCACATCTCGCTGCTGAAGAGCCCTGCTTCGGCATGGATATAGACATGGGACGTGATGGTGTAATCCTCTCGGAGTCGCATCCAGAGTGATTCTGCGCTTCCTGCGATTTGAAGCCTCTGCTTTGGGTAAAGAACGACCCATCCGCTGCCGCAATCGACTTCGACAGCCGCTTGGATGTCGTTCTGGAACGTCGTCATCGGATTAGGGGCAAAGAGGTAAGACTTTGGCTAGGCTTCAGGGTTTAGGGAAAAGAAGGCGATGGCGGGGGGCATTAGCAGAAAACGTCGCGAACGTATCTCAAATCACTCGCGTGTCATGTAGGGGGCTGAAAAAAACTAGAATTGTGTTCTGGGATGTTCGGGGTATAGATATGTGTGTAGAGTAATTATACGGGAACTACTAGGGACGTGAGCCGATCGTGCGCCAGCGGAATCCGAAAAGAGCCTGAACCCCAAGCCCGAAGCCCAAAACCCAAACTGCGGTGATTTTTTCTTCCGATTGCTCCACTTTGGAGCCCCGAAACCCCATGACATCGCTTGATGACGTTGCTTAAAGATGGGGGACGCCATGTAGCGGAAGTTGATAACTACAAAATAGTATAGGTAACTATTAAGGACCCTATACTACCGTAGGACTGCATGAGTCTGGGCTGCTCTTCTCCAGACCCAGAGGTTTTTGTAGGGGCCTTAAATCCTTACCCATACTATTGTGGGGTTCCTGATTAAAGTTATAACGTATAATGGAACATACCCCCCAAAACCGCTATCTTACTTTCCTTCAACAGACAGAATTCTTCGAAGTTTCCGCGCTCACTTGAAGGAGTGGCAACTAAGGGGTGTGTCGTGTGTCAGATAATCTCAGGCTCCGGGCCGCGAGTGTCACTGGGATTGCGTGAACGTGTATGGGAGTTTCCAAAAACAAGGGGTACCTTATTTTGGGATCCTTATAATAGGAATCCTACTATTTAGGGTGCTATATGAGGGTCCCCTATTTTCGGAAACCCCCGTATGTCATGCAAGACCCCAACCCCACTGTGGGTTACTGAACTCAGGGTTCTCCTGAATGACGCTCTGTCTTACTGGGACATTCAGGGGCCCCAACACAAAAGACATAATGAGGGTATATTTTACCACGGTTCTATAGAGATTTTAAGTCAATTGTATTTTCAATCCCCCCAGACCCCCATATCTGACCTCAAGCCCTTTCTGAACTCCTGCGAAGCCACTCCGCCAAGCTCCGAGCCCCACGGAGGATCACAGGCACCGAGGTGGACAGCTCCGTGGCCTGTGGGCGAGTGTATGGTTTAAGGTTTAGGGGTTTAGGGTTTAGGGTTTGGGGGTTTATTCAGGGCTTTAGGGTGAGGGTTTGAGGCAACATGTACGTCTTAGGTTTGCCTGTCGCCAAAAGAGCCTGCTTGTTTGAGGCTCCTTGCTATGATTTCCATCCACACACACAGAGTCACACACACACACACATATATATACACACACATACACATATACATATATGTATGCATGTATGCATGTATGCATGTATGCATGCATGCATGCATGCATGCATGCATGTATGTATGTATGGATGTATGGATGTACGGATGTATGTATGTATGTATGTATGCATGTATGTATGTATGCATGTATGTATGTATGTATGTATGTATGTATGTATTCATTCCCAGAACCCATTTCAACGAGAAGTAGGAGGCCCTCAAAATGTTCGGAGACCCACACGTCATGCCAGAAGCCTGCGCGACTTCATCGACGAGGATGCCCTCGAAGGAGGAGAGGCGTGCCAAGAAGTCCATGCCTCTTCGGCACTCTCCGGTCTTGAAGATTGTTGATGATTTAAGTCTCTGGAACAGGGGGATGTCGGGTCTGAGCGTTTAGGATTCACGGTTTCCGTTTAAGTCGCGATCACGCAACAGAGTGGGACCCGGAAACCTAAACCCTGAGCTCGAAGGAGATTCATTTGTGACTGGCTTCCCGAGCTGGTGCAACCTGTCCAGCTCGCTCCTGAGCCTTATTGATCCCCCCCAATGAAGGGTTGGATGGCGTTGTATAGCAATCTTGCCGACCTCCAACTCTGTCAGCTTCCGACCAGACACCACTATAATCTTCTCTCATATACTTTGATGTGCCGCAGTTTACTCCAATGATCTTTGCCTTGCACCGAAAGACTGTCTGGTGCTTAGTAGGGAATGGGGGAATGGATCCCTATGATAGTCCCTTAAGGTCCCCTATAGTAGTACCTATAACCCATTCCCCCATTCCCTACTAAGCACCAGACAGAAGAGAGAAGTCAATCGGCACAAATCCTTTCGAATCCTTGCCTTGGTTTTATCCTTCCGCCCTGGTTGTTGAGGGTTCAGAAACTTGGGGGGGCCCTCTGCTTTTGGGGCCCTACAGATAAGCTGCGACTCAGGTTCCCAAGTGGTGTCTTCAGGGTTTAGGGTTTAGGGTTGTCCTCTCTTATCTGAAACGCAACAACCCTCCCGTTTCCCAACACGAAGGGCAGCAACCTGCGGCAATCGTGGTGGTGCAAATCACGTCTGCCTGCACAAGGAGATCAGGACATCAGCAGAAGGACCTAAACACCAGAAGTCCAGCCCTAAACCCCAATTCCGATAGCACTGAGATTTTCGAATAAACTCAAGGGAAATGAACCGTAACTAGCCGTCCATGAAAGCTCTTTTACTATTCCGGCGGCCTTGCAGCTTTGCTTTGATGAGTATGTTGGGGATTCAGGGTTTAGGGTCTAGGGCGGTTTAGGGTTTAGGGTTTAGGATGTAGGGTCTAGGGTTTAGGTTTCAAGTTTCGGTGGCTTCGATGTCACTCTCATAGTCCCTGGGCTGCCGAATGCGGTTGGAGCCATGCAAACCCGGAAGCCGTCGAGCCCTACGTCCAAAGAGTAGGACAAGGTCTCCAGCCAAAGAGATGCGGAATTCAAACAACCAAATAGAAGAGTATGCTCAAGGCTAAAAAACAAGTAGAAAAGGATCCTTGAAACCAAACGACCCTTCGATAGGATCCTCTAAAATCTGAAGGCCTTTGGGTGTGTTGAGTTGCTTTGTTTCCGGGTGAGGGTTTTAAGGTTTAGGGTTTAGGGTTTCAGGGTTTAGGGGTTTAGGGGTTTAGGGTATTTTACAAGGGTTCAGCGTGCAAGGTCTGGATATTTAGGCCACTTTGCCCCGAGATCTCCGCGCGCCGTTGTACCTTCAATGCCGCAGCCCCCAGCTTCAAACCACGGCCAGCAAGTGTAAAGCCAGAAACTTCAACCCCTCAAGCCAGAAACTGCCCTAAACCCAACACCCCAAACTTCCTAAGCCCTAAACCCTAAACTTCCTAAACCCTAAACTTCCTAAACCCTAAACTTCCTAAACCCTAAACCCCAGTTCAGGAGAGAAAAATCCTGCAGATCAGCCAAAAGCCCAAGTGGGGGTTTCCGAAAATAGGGGACCCTAATATAGTACCCTAAATAGTAGGATCCTTGTTGTAAGGACCCCCCAAATAAGGTACCCCTTATTTTCGGAAACGCCCAAGTCACACAAAGGCACCTCCCGGAGGATCTTCATCTGAAGCTCGAAGTCCTCTCAGAGCTCAACGTTGACTCTACAGCTTCTTTCCTAAACCCTAAACCCTAAACCCTAAACCCTAAAGGCTCTACAGCTTCTTCAAGTTGTCCTTTAAGCCCTTTGAAAATTATTTACTATTATGGTTCTCTACAGAATAGTGAGGGGAATTAGAAAAAGATCCCAACAGACAACCCAGTTCTTTAAAAGGTTCAGGGTTTCATGGCGTAAGTTTAGGGGTGTACGAAACTTCGGGTTTGAGGATTAGGGTCTCGCGGTTTCGGGTGTATATGAGCGCTTTGGGTTTAGAGTTTAGGGTTTAGGGTTTAGGGTTTAGGGTTTAGGGTTTAGGGTTTCGAGACATGTAGGTGCTGAGTAGTTTTCCCGGACGCTGTACTACCCTATGATTGCATTATGTCACACTTTTTCACTTATAAAAATACATCTTCCAATCATATTATATGTGAAGAACATGATCTTGGTTGAATCCCGTAAAAATACCACATATGCCCAGAAGCGCGCAACGAGGATCCGAGCACACTTTCGCAAGATAGGGTTTACCTCTCCACCTCCAGGGCCTTGAAAAGCCGTAATGTAGGGGCCTTAATAACTAGAATTGGGTTTTGGGGCCCCCCCCAAAAAAAACTATAGGTAATTATTGAAGCCCCTACAACATCTGCAGAACCGGATATCGCAGGAATTAGTATACAGGCTTGAATCACCAGCACTGATTTGCCATTGCCCATCTCATCCATATTTTTAGCGATACTATGATATATGATAGACCTCCAAACCTGAACCCTAAACCCTAAACCCGTTCTGATCCCTTTTCTTGTCGCTTTGCCCTCAGACGAATACCCTTCCTTCATAGAAGTGTAGCAGCATGTACCCCGTATTCAGGTTAGGGCTTAGGGTTTGGGTTTAGGGTTTAGGGTTTAGGGTTATTAGCCCGTATCAAAAAACCTTTATCAAACCCTGGAAGCCATAGACAAGTTTATGTTGATTCTTCATGCGTCTGACATTAAACCTCACCAAAAAGCCAGAGAAGGCCTGGCGATTCTGCGCCCGGCGGTCTTCGAAGTGTCGCGCAACTGCCTTTAAAGGCTGACATGGAAACGGATTCCGTTTAATGTAGGGGCCTTTATAATTAGAATAGGGTTCTAGGGTATATTATCCTATATATATATATATAATAAGGAAGCCTCAAAATAGTATTGGTAACTATTTAAGCTTCTATACTAGGGTTCCTTTCGAGGCTTCCAGAGGTCATTCTCGGGTTCCGGGTTTAGGGCCCGGCTTTGAGTTTGGCAGTACGGGTTCAGGGCCGAGGATTCTGGGTTGGGCATTGGGCATGGGTTTAGGGTTTAGGGTTTAGGGTTTAGGGTTTACCCTAAACCCTAAACCCTAAACCCTAGGGTGCCGGAAATCGGCTTTATGGCCTGGTCTTTGGGTTTAGGGCGTGGGGTCTCGGGCTCGGATTTGGCTTCAGGATGATGGTTTCAAGAGAACTCCGGTGGCTCGCAGAGGCGTCTCATGGGCTATCAGGGGCTGCGGCTTGAGTAGGGTTCTGGCGTTTCTTGTCTTGATTGGGCTTCTGCTTCAAGACCACACCCCGAAGTTACAGCAAGTGGAACTGAACACAGACAGGGCTGTTGTCGTGCTTCATAGCTGCTCAAGGCCTAAGGCTTCATAATTCACTATCCGTCAGACCGAATCCACTACAATATACTGGCCTATAGAAATGGAATACGGTTTTGGGAGGGCTCTTAAACACTTACTTGTCAAAACCCGCAAAGCCAGAGAAAAGTATTCACTGATTATCCAGGACCCTGTACGGCCCTGAAAATCCGCAGCCTTTCTACTGAACCCGCTCACCTAAGTTGAGTCAAGGCACAAAATGGCTCGAACTTAAACTCATAAATCCCGATACCCGGACTTAACCTTGACTGCCCCAAAACCACACCCAGCCGTTCGCTAGGGTTGTATAATGTAGGGGCCTTAATTATTAGAACAGGGTTTTGGGGCCCATTATACTATATTCATAGCAAGGAACCCTCCCCCCCCCAAAGCATGTAGGTCATTATGTAGGCCCCTATATTACTACCAAGGGACACCCAAGCAACCAAACCTCTCAATGCCTGATGTCATGAAGCCCCCCGCGACTGCCTCTCCGACGTCTTCACCTGCTGAGGGCGCGTGCAATCGTTTTGCCAGCAGTTTTGGGGTGGGATTCAGTAGGGTTCAGGGTTTAGGGTTTAGGGATTCAGGTTTTGTAGGTTTTGTGTGCAGGGTTGCGGTATGTCCTGAACCGCACACTTAGCTCGACGGTACACCTGGAGCTCTCTGAATTGAAAGCTCATAGCACCGAAGTTGTAAAGACCATATCCGTGTAGCCTTAGGTCTGTGGCACAATTTAGGCGCCTCAATAATTACCCTCAATAATTACTAATACTATTTTGGGGGTTCCGTATTACAGTACCCCAAAACCCTACTCCAATTATTAAGGCCCCTGTATTACCAAGGTGGCTTTAAGTTCTCGCCCATGTGGGCATGATCGTTCAACCATATTCCTGATAGTTGAGGCTCCCAAACAGGACCTACACCCGAACCACCTAAGCCTCCAAACAACCCAAAACCCCAAACCCCAGAAACCCTAAACCCTAAACACCAAAACCCTCAAATCCTAAACCCTCAACCCCAAAAAGAAAAGGCCAGGACTGTAGAAAAGACTGTATGGGGCCCTTCCTAAACCCTAAACCCTAAACCCTAAACCAGCTCACAGCTCGGAGCCTTAAACCCTTAACCCTAAACCCTCGAGTACTGCCCTGAAGCCTCGAACCCTAAATCCTAAGCCGGGGTTTAGGGTTTAGGGTTTAGGGGTTTAGGGTTTAGGGTTTAGGGTTTAGGATTTAGGGTTTAGGAGCCCCAATTCTGCACAAGGACAAGCACCGTTTAGGGTTTAGGGTTTAGGGTTTAGGGAAAGAC